TATATATATTATATATATATATTATATATATATCATATATATATTATATATACTATATCAAATATTCATATATCTATGCATATATAAATTCATATATTTATATATTTATATATATATGTCTCTATCTATCTATCTATCTATCTGAAAGATAGAGAGATAAAGAGATAGAGAGATAGATCGACCGACAGAAAGATCAATAGACAGAAAGACCGATAAATGGACAGACAGACAGACAGACATACAGACAGACAGACACACACACACACACATACACACACACACACACAAACACACACACACACGCACACACACACACACACAAACACACACACACACGCACACACGCACACACACAGACACACACACACACACAAACACACACACACACACAAACACACACACACACGCACACACGCACACACACACACATATATATATATATATTATATATGTGTGTGTGTGTGTGTATGTGTGTGTGTGTGTGTTTGTGTGTGTGTGTGTGTTTGTGTGTGTGTGTGTGTGTATATATATATATATATACACACACACACACACACACACACACACACATATAGGCTACATATAAACTTGCAATTTTACAAGAAATTGTATGCATACCTATTTTCAGTTGACATCTTATTACCATTTTTAGCAGAATCATAGTTACATTTCTACCCAAATAATTTATGGATTTTTACATAAAGTACAGTATGTTACCTTGTCTTGAAGGGTTAATCTAACATATTAATGGGGTGGGGCTACCTCCTGTATCTGCCAGTAAGCATATTCATTATTTTTCTATTTTAAAGCAAATATAAAATAACAGACACAAATGATGCCAAAAGCAGTAGACTACAGTTTGGGTACAGACATATCCTTTATCAGCGTGTACCTACTTAAATTTCATATGTAGGTCTAAACATCTGAAAACCTTTTAAAAGTTTATGCTTCTAATTCTTAACATTCCTAATATGAAAAGCAGATTTGGTTGTAAGTAACGAATACACTCAGTGTGAAAAAATGGATAGCAATAACAACACTGTATATGAACTAATCAGCTCCTTAGCAAGGAAAGTGGGGTGTAGCTTCTCTGCCAATGATGCATATAGTGACCAAGTTTAAGTGACTAATGCACTTCTCAAATCTCTGCAATGCCATTACTTTATTTAAAGAGTAAATTGCTTTACTTACCACTTCAGGATGACCAGCAAAAAAATAATAATAACATGAGCTTCCATAACACATCCTAAGGTCAATCAAAAGTATTACCATAAATTGGGGTGACATCCACCACATGTTGTAAATGCATGAACTAACAGAATATTGTATTCTAAATGAAAAAAATAAGAAAGGCAACAGGCAATTTGCAGTGCTAATAAATAATGAAGTTGTATATAACAAGTTTTTTTCCGAAACTTCAAGCAAGGAATATTTGCAAGGGCTCTTGAAAAAAAAAATATACATGACATTTTAGAGAAACAAAAGTAATCAAGTATGAAACCATCTCACATCATGCAACTGCAGTGAATCTGAATGTTTTCTACACCATTCTTGTTTTTTCTGGGGGTGACTTCAAACAGTACATACATATTACAAGTAATAAAATTTTAAAGATTATCCAGTCAAACATTCATTTGATCATGAATGCTAAAATAACACACACTCCAATATGCTGAAGACTCAGAGCTCACTTTGGAAATTATTTATCTTGCTGGACAAAGTGAGAACCAGAGAACAAAGTTAGAAATAACTAAAGAATTATATCAATAGGTATTCATTATCATAATTAATTAAGTATGAATAAAATGAAAATGTCAGCCATCTATTTGGTACTTGAACTTCATTTCACTTATAGCCTCATTTACTAGTAGCTTATTAGAGAATGTCTTGAAAATCTGGATAAAAGTCTGAAGGTGTTGCATCTTAAAAGGTTGTGAAACTAATTAAACTACTGACCCTGGTACAGCAACAATCACACTAGTTGCATATGGCTGGGGATCCCCAAACAGACACACTCAGTGTTTGTCATGTACAGGGTGGGATTGGGCACATTACACACAGTGTGCCCCTGTAGTGAACATTGTCCCAGAAAAGACCATGGTGTTTACAACAATCTCCAAAGTTACCCCAATACACTATATTTCAACAGAAATAGAAAATCCAACAACTTTACAATAACATATACTACTATAAGTGTAATCTGCAATGTACTAGAAACGTAATTATAGATTGATAAATATTAATGTTGGAAGGAAACAAATACTATAACCAAAACTGAGTAAATTATCAATTGTTGATTGTGAAGGCCTTGCCAGCCAGCTGTACAATTTGACCCTGACAAAGTAATGTTTCCCGTTGATATTCATTATTGTTATTTCTAGCTTTCTGCTATCATGGCATTCCATTACTGTTCTCTGGTTCTCACTTTGTCCAGCAGGGGATAAATAATTTCCAAAGTGAGCTCTGTGTTTTCAGCAAATCGGAGGGTGTTATTTTTGCATTCATGATCAAATGAATGTTTGACTGGATAATCTTTAAAATTTTAGTGGGTTACCATTATCACTTGTAATATATATCAATCATTATTCTACAGTACAATCATACCTACCATGATGTAATAATCAACAATTAGACAATCAAGTAATGAGTTTCTTAGTAATCATACAACAGTTTTTTCTTTTGGCATCACTTTCCCTCTGTAGCCAGAGCAAAAGACCGATACAGCGTCAGTGCTATGCTAGGTAGAAATTTTCACCTTGGTTCGCCTCATTGGGGAAGTATCCTGCTCTGTACAGGGATCCTCAGACAGACAAGACTGGTGTGACTGCAAATTTTCAGGAGAGGAACCAAATATAAACTGCAAGATATGAATAGTACAAAGATATTTCATCTTTACTGGACACCTTTGAAGATTAGTTCCTTCAAGGAAAAATCTAGATAATCTGGGCAGTCGTATCAGCCTTATTGTTATTTACACTTATCAAAAATGACATTCATTTTATTTTATTCCTGTCCATCTTAACCCAATACATGGTCACCTTTCCTTTACGGGTTACTTCAGGGGTATGAATTAGGGGTGGGGGTAATTTCCCCCCCTCCCTCCCTCCCCACGACCACAATTTTGAACTTTTTTTTACTATATAATAACTATATATGTCTGGTTATAGCTTAAACATGCCATAGAATAACCAAGCTTTCTGAATTTATATTAATTTTGCTCGCTAACTCATTTTTGCCCCCCCCCCCAAGAAAAAGCTGAAATGATGCCCCTGGGTGACTTCAGAGATCAGTTGTTGCTTTATTTCTCCCAAAATGAAAACAAAATATGTTGTGCATGTTGGGTAGGATGAATTACATCATCTATGTTCTTGCCTCCACTTTGCAATATCATTATCTCTTTTTTTCTTTTTGCCATTTCCAGGGTCTATATTTGCCATCTGATGTTTATCAAGATGGACTGTTCTCCTAGCACAGACTCCATATCCTTTTTCTAGGTACTCTGCAACACCATGCAACAACAAAAACAATTATCAAAATGTTGTTATTTGTGTCATTCTTCAATATCTTTGTATTGTTCAATTTTCTTTAACTCACCCTGTGCTGCTAGTCATGTCAAGTAGGAATAGGATCCTGAGCATGGAAATAGTATCTTCCCTAGAGCCAGCACTTTACTAACCATGGCTTACAGATGGCACATTCCACCCTCATTTGCTATTGGAAATAATGCAAGAGGAAGATTAGATGCTGTTGACAGTTAGGAAATAATTCCTGTCAACAGCATCTAATCTTCCTCAAAGAGAAAAAAATTTGTGACAGCACATTCCAGTCACCTGGCCCTCAACTAATTTTTTTCAAGATGTAATGGTCATGTCACCTGGGTCCTACAGTCCTATTCACCACAACTGTGGCTTCTTAAATCATGTGTGGTCAGTCTTATTTATCATGATCATGAAAGGCCTATCAAAAACAGTGGGCTTTTTTCTCTTAACTTTTTTGTTATCAATGAAATGCATGGGTCTGGTTGCGGAAGTTTCCCCCAGCCACACACACAATATCATCCCCAAACCCCTATTCCACCCACAGACACACTGCTCTCCCAGAGTTAATTATATGATTATGCTTCAGGTGTACCACACCCAAGAGACACATGAACATGGTATACCTGAAAGCAATTACATCTATAAATAGTGTCTAGGTAAATATAAATAGGGTAAAAACAAAAAATAATACTTTGTTTATCCTTCAACAGAATGATGTTACTTGTACTGCATAGATAGATAATATGAAGTGTGATCAATGAAAAATGTCTAACGTTTTTTTGATATTGCATAAACATTTTTTTTTCTTTCTAAAAATCAAAACAAATAACTATGTTACATTATTGCACAGACTGAAAACTACCTGGAGAGATATGGAGACTGCTCAGTGAAAAACACATTGATACAGCATAACAAAAGGCAAAGTGCAAAACAGCAAACACATCTGCATAAAGAGGATTAATGGCTCTGCAAAAAGAAGGAAAGGACTCTTGATAGTGAATGTTCATGTGGGCTGGGCCTACAAGCCACATACCTAGGAGAGTGACCACTCATGTAAGACTAATGCACATATTTTGATCTGTGCACAAGCCACAAGCTACAAACCAGTTGGATCCAATTGGTTAAGTAGCACAGGGTCACCTCTTGGTACATATGTTTTTTTTTCTTTTTAATTATCTATACATAGATACATACAAATACATCTTCATACATATTCTATAGTTTCATATTAGACAAATATGTGTCTGTTGCTTTATATGTACTTTATTTACAAGTTTATAATTCATCCCATTTTCATATACAAGAGGTAACTGTGATAACTTTTGCAACTTTGTGCTCTGTCTATCTGATATATGACAAAAACATGCATTTTCTAATGCATAAAATCAAGCTTTTGAAATCCCATGCACCAAAATTTGCCTTTGCAAAACAAAACAAATCTGGAATTCTATGCAGCAAGGAACAAAGTGGTTCTTAGGGCTATCTGGTTTAAAACACTTTTAAAAATGTTCATGGTTACCCCAGTTTACAGTAGTCTAACTGCTTCATGATATCATAGATCATTACACAAGAATTACACTATCAAAACGTTAAAAAATATTCTCATGAGACGATTCTTTTAAAATGTATAGAAGGTAGAGCCCAGTGGTTCCTAAACCATATTCAGTGACTCCAAAGCTTACAGATGCCTTCCCACAAAATGTTTTTCATTACCCCATCACCCCTCTAAATGATTTTACAGTTACAGTAGTTTATTTTCTTCTGCCCCATGAATTACAGTCGATAGAAACAAAATACCCCTGAACTTCAAGGCCATATGTTTCCTGCTCTTTAGAAGAGTGACAATTACTTACTGCATCCATAAATTTGATTTCATTTTGGATAATGCACCACCTCTGGGTACTGCTCACAGCACCAAATTCTAGAACCAATGGTATAGCTTACCCTGTCCTAATGTATTTGCAATATCAGATTTACCAAATAATTAAGACCTGTCTTCTATCTGAACCCATATGTACAGGTTAATAATTATATTTAATGAGCATAGATGGTCAAAGTTTTGCTGATAAAACAACTCCTATTTCATTACATATTTTACATAAGCACTGTGACCATAAATTCATTACACAATGGTCAAGTCTTCTTTACAAAGTCATTATATATAACATACCTTAACCCAGTGCTGCCACAAGAATTTAATATTTACTGTAGCATTGTTTTGTGATTTGTCTCTCCACATTCATGGTTCAGTAAGTGTTTAGCCACCAAGTAGTCAATTAGTCAACCTTATGAACTCACCTAATTTCACTTTTATTTGAGTTTTCAAAATAAAAAAAATTCTGACAAATGCTATCAATATCGATGCTGTTATTATCATTATAGACATTATAATCATTATAATAATGACATTTCTAACAGCAATACAAGATCAAAGAAAATATTTCCTAAAATAAAAAAAAGGTCAGGCAGGTGAGAAAGGCAGTACTAGTTATTGTCTCATTGGTGACTAAGTAATTGTGGAGCCATTTATATGTGAAGAGAGTTACGTGGCCAAGGCATGCTTAACGGCATCGGGTCAGGTAATGTGTCTGTTCTGGACCTGTAACACCCTTGTAACAACTACTCTTTAATCACTCTTCTGTTTATCAGCATCCTCTGATACATCAGCAATGACCTTACTACTTAAGAAATCTGGGGAGAGGCACATGTTGATGAATGAATAAACTGAGGCACTGTAGGCATCTGGGTGTACCCTGAAAAAAAAAATAGCATTAATGATATAATCTGAATACACACAGCCTTTCTTTATGTAAAGCAACAAGTCAACCAATCTATCGTACAGAAGCAGAGGAAGTTGAATGAAAGATCTAAGGAACCTAGAATGTAGATGCCAAAAATAAAAAAAATTAAATCTTCTTACACATGCTTTACACCTGCAAATGTCATATAAGTAATAGAACCTGGATGTGCTAACATCATATATGACATTTCATGAGACAGTATGCCAAGAATCATTTGAACTGTTACCAGACAGTAGTCAGGGTACCCTTCAAAAATATATACAGCTGTTTAATGCTTAATAATCCAGTTTACCTTTAATAAACAAGTCTGATCCATGTCTATCATCCAGCAGGGTGAGGTTAGATCAAACATCAAATGTTTATCTTTAATCTTTATAAAGTACCAATATCAAAAATGAAGAATGTGGGCCAAAACAACCAAGGAGGTAATGAGAAAAACAATAAAGAGAAGATGGTGAATGCGGTCTGGTGAACAATGTCTCCTGACAGCCTATGCTGACAGACATATGAATGCCCATCAGCATAAAGTGATATGCAAATAAAATATCAGTACTTTTAAAGTCTTCCTTTGTATATCTAATAATAAAAATGAAGGCCTTCATTACCAAAATATAAATAATGATAATGAAAACCTTCATTGCCTTGCAACTGGGGGGTTTATTCTGGAGTATGCACAACTCATTTCCGAAGGCCCTATTTTAAGCACAGTACATAGGTTTTCTTTGTACTGAGTACAGAGTAAATGTCAAAGTCTTATATAAGATTTATAATTCCTTGTTATGAATTTTTAAAAATATTGTTCTAAATCTGAAAGGCAACAGGCAATGAGCATATGAATATGTGTTAGAACTAAGAAGGAAAAAGCACATTCCTTTACGTAAATTAGTCTCTAAGCCTGCATACGTGTATGCTGTGTATATAAGTCTCTAAGCCTGCATACCTGTAATGCTGAACATGAGCAGAATCATCCCAGCATTTTGTAACAACAGGAACTCCAAGCTTCTGACGTTCAGCAACAAAATATTCAACATCATTGTAATTGATAAGTTTGTCAGCACGTGAATACAGAAAGAGCTGTGGGCATCGAGCTTTGTCCTGAAAGATACGAGACCTTATGTTATGCTGAACAGTAAAAGAAACTGAATACCATGAAAAATCTTCATTACATCATAGCACTGAACTTTAGTATTTTCACACTATTTAGTGTTTTCAAAGTATTTACCTCCACAAGAGCCCAAGGTGGAGTGTTAGGAAGCTTTCCAGAGATAATTGTCCACAACACAGAAAGGACTCTCCAGCCCATCAAGAACAGCATCATGCCTACTGATGCACAGAGCTTCATCCATACTGACCCTGGCGTCACCTCATATATCGCTCGCACACCTGCAGCATCAAAAGAATAAACTCATATCACACAATACAGTACTTAGTGTTTCATCTATTACCAGAACTGTAGAAGACATATATGAAAAATGGTACTTGCATTGTGTCATTACTGTTTTTCTGGAGTCGGATATGCAAAACTTAAAAAAAATATAGAATCCATATTATTTTTCCTTTTTTATAATCATGGATAAATCAATATAGAATTACCAAGTTATGATACAGTCTCTAACCTGAGTAAATTCTCCTAGGTGATGGGGTACTGTCAAAAATGCATCCTTTAACCATCAAATTTGGTGCCTCATCTTCTTCCATTGCCTGAGTTATGTAGTAATATAACACAGATCCATTGTTGCTGAACATATGGAAAAAAACAGGATGGTCATCAAGGCTCATGTCCTTCAGTAATGCAAGGAGTTTACGAGCAATTGGCATCAGTTTCACTTTCGGTCTTACAAACAAGTAAGCTGTGGGAGAGGTATAGCGGATGGTTATACACCTGAAAAATAAAACCCATCATTACATCAATTTGCAATGAAATAAAAACAATTAAGAGAACCTATCTTTATTTAAGAAATTAAATACTATACAGGACACAGTGTAAGCTGTGTTAGTTGTATAATAGAAAAGCCAGGCAAAGCTAGATGAAATTAGACCTGGTACAATAAAAAATTCAAAACAAGATATTTGCTCTTTACAGTGCACATACTTTTATGACTTTCATTCATCATTAATTTCAATTATCTTTCAGTGAAATTAGATATACATACAACAATATGATACATCCTAAATTTTTCTTTCTTTCTTTTTTGTTATACAACAACCAATGCACAGTAGTTGATAAAAAAAACTGCATTAATGAGCATATAGTCAGCCAGGTGTCCACCAGACTAGCAACTACACATGTATATACATATATATGTCTTTATATATGTGTAAACATATACATACAGATGTATATACATATTTACATATATATGTTTATACATATATAGGTCTTTTCACACTACTTTCTATAGCCGATGAAAGGAGTATCACAGGGAAAAACAGGAATCAAGCAAACATTTTGACACTTCAAAGAGAATATCCATGATTTTGTACAGCAACGTTTGGATAATGTAAACACAGGATACTAAATACAAGATAAACACATAGGAATAAAATAATACCATTTAATGAAACACCATAGGCCAATTTTCAACAAATTCCCTCCTTAAAAGAGGCTATAATATCCTCTCTTGTAACTCTTCCCACAATTTATAGTATATATAGTTAACATTACTAAAATTCAGCCTCAATATCTGAATTTACCTATATAATTATTGAATATACATAACATTTGACTATATGCAGTCCCATTCTCTTATATGAGTAAAATATATAAAATCATAAAATCCAATGGGTCAGCCTCCTTCTCAAAAGTTCAGGAGGGATTCTTGTGGATATGGGAGAACATTTCTGGGTAGAGGATTTGAATGTACATATACTTATATTTCTAATTATCCAAAATTTGCACTATCAGCCTTTCTGAAGAGGTAGGCTCTCCTCAAGTTTAGTTCTAAATCAATGTGATATAACAGTAATAACTAGTTGTTGTTGGTTGTTTTAAAATGTACTAGTCTCAATATCTATAAATGCATATAAGCATATGACAAAACACAAACCCTCTTTGGTTGTAGATACTGCAATATTTGGCCAAATGTCGATCTTCTGCCCCAAGCCAGCCAGAGAGAAACACAACTGGTTCCTTCTCACCATTAGCTCCATCAACAAATACAAAGTCCTCTTCTTCATCCCTAAAATAAGAAAAATACAGGTGAGAATTCATGCAAATGGAATACACTTATTTTACATAGAATTTTGTTAGGTCCAAATTCTGCCATTTCAATTATTTTCTCATTTGTGTCCGGTGGTAATGTCTCATAATGAGACTAAAAGTAACACAAAAAAGACAGAAAACAGTACCTCAATAAGGATATATATATATATATATATATATATATATATATATATATATATATATATATATATATATATATATATATATGTATATAATATATATATTATATATATATATATATATATATATATATATATATGTAAATACATGTATATATATTATATATATATATATAATATATATATATATATATTATATATATATAATATATTTATATATATATATGTATATTTATATACATGTCTATATTAACATATATTATATATATATATATATATATATATATATATATATTATATATTATATATATATAT